GGCTTTGGAAAAACGAATCCAGATGAGAGGGCCATGGAACGTGATGGAGTATCAAACCACTATCTGATTTGGACTATGAGCTCTGCCTGTGCCTGTGTAAGGCAATATAAACAAGTCAATAGCTGTTTGGGAGATGCTGAAATTCTGGAAAGATTCTTCCCTGTGCAGTTTTTTGGAAGGTGTATCTTCTAATTTGGAATTTGATCCGTCTGAAACTGTCATTCTCAGCCCCATGGGCAAAACCTTGATCCTAGCCAGTGCACATGTCCTTACAAGTGAAGAATCTGAACGCACTGGGAATGCAGAGTCAGCCTCTGAGTTGATGCTGCCCTAGCTTTTAAGAAGCACGCAGGAAACCGCAGGATGCTGGCTGACAGAGCCCATCTCCAACAAGAGGATGGTCAGTCAGCTAAAAAGCTGCAGAGTGTCTGTAGGACTGTTACCTGGAACCTGTGCTCGCCCTGGTCTGTGCACAGCGCACAGGTTCTAACCAGTGCAGGAGCAGACACAGTTTCAGGCATGAAATGCTATGCCTGAGGTGCTGCAGAAACACGAACCGAGCCGAGAATGGCCGACTCTAACAGGTGAAGCAATGAGCTGTGGGTTCAGTGCTGTGTCTCCACAGCCCTGCAGAGTGCACATAGAATGAAGGCTACTCCTCACACCCTTCCAGTACATCAGAAATGTGTTTGCTCATAGCCCACCTTACTCCCTTTACCTGCAGAGGCCCAAATAACTCCTCCCCTGCTCGATAGGCTCCTCGATGTATAATCCTCTCCTGATGGCAGAGGCGGGCACCAGAGCTGGCAGGGGGAGCAGAGTGGGACTGTGCTATGGGTGCTGCCACAGCTGAGGACAGGGTTGGGCCTGGCAAGACAAGTCATCTTTTTGTAGGGGACTGGAAAACACGGCAAAGGCTGAGGATACAGCTGCTTTTTCTGGCGTTGTCACTGCACTGACAAGAATCACAGCCAGTGACCTCTTTATCAGATATTTTGAGACCTGACAACTGTTGTAGCTTCGGGCGCTTCTCTAATGCTGCTTCTTGTGCCAATTGCAGAGTCAGACCTGGGATATGGTGAATGTTTTAAGGTGCAGGTGAAGCCATTTGGATTTACTTCCTTAGGGAAATCTCCTGGATTTGGAAGTTGCCTGCTATCAAAGGCCTGAAGTTATAGGCTGTACTGTGTGGAGTATATGGCTGGTAGCTACAAAATCCACAGGTAATCCATGGCATGATCTGTCAGCAGAGAATTCAGTCTGTCTGTGTTTTCCAGCTGATTCGTCAACTTAAAGCTCACTTCTTCTCACAGTATTCAAGTCCTCTGATAACAGCAAAAGATCAAAATAAGAGGTGAATAACCATTATGCTGTTACACAGAACATCATCTGCACCGCAAATAACACAACAGAAATGCATTTCTTGAGAACCCCATCCTTGAAGACCCTCCTGTGCTGTCTCTGACAGTCAGGACTTGTTTATACACAGTTGTCTGTCATTGCAAAAGGAGGAGGAAGAGAGGAAAGAGCAACTTTTGGCTTAGGTGGTGCCCTTGATGAGGCATCACTGGGTCTGTGACAAGCGAGCAGGCTGGGCACAGAGGGACTGCGACTCTGATGGTGCCACTGAGGTCCCTGCACTGGCACCATCCCTCATCCCACCATGCCAGCAGTAAAAGCAAGCAAGCCACCATTGCTACATTTAACACTTGTACATTTTTATTTAGTTAAATCAGCCATTGTACACATTGCAGCTATGTATTGTTAGTGTTGTATCTTTTTAATTTTTAACTAATACATGCCCTCATAGATATATTCAATTAGTGTTATCACCATGGGAACAAGATGCTGATTCGTCAACTTAAAATTCACTTCTTCTCACAGTATTCAAGTTCTCTGATAACACAGCAAAAAATCAAAATAAGAGGTGAATAACCATTATGCTGTTACACAGAACATCATCTGCACCGCAAATAACACAACAGAAATGCATTTCTTGAGAACCCCATCCTTGAAGACCCTCCTGTGCTGTCTCTGACAGTCAGGAAGCCATGATGCACTGTGAGATGTTTCATCAGGGGTCTCATTCGATTTGGCTGCCAAAACACTTTTTTTCTTTAAGTTTCTTTTCTTGCCTGCCCAAAAAGTGTCAGCACGGCACCTATTGGTTCTGCCCACGGGAAGCCAGAACTCCAGAGGTGTTTCCATGCTTTTGGCATTATTACCTTAATGAGGAAGTGCCCTTGTTCTGAGCACTGAGTGAGTCATTAAAAAAAAAACCAAAACCAAAGAACCCTATAATTGTAGAAGGCCAGATAAGCTTGGACAAAGGATTGCTCCTAGAAGAGAGGGTTGGTTTTACTCTGGTGCTAAGTCTACTATTAAAAAAATGAGATAGCTGTTTAAAAGCATTAAGTTGGTATGTTTGTGTGTATGCGTGTTATGCTAAAACCCTACAGAGCTTCCTTCACTAAATATTAAGGTATAGAACACCCAAAACATCAGATCCTTACGTTCCCTGTGTGGAAAATAAAAGTGCAGACATGCTAATGTGGTTTTCAGAGGGTCAATTTAGAAATATATATATATAATATATAGTTACATAACAAAATATGAACAGAAACCGGCTGCTGAGGATTGTGAGCACTTGTTCTTTAAAAAACACTTAGAAGATAAAAACTGCTCGCTCAGTGCTAAGAGGGCCAAGAAGCTGACATGGTTCTAGGAGGGTTTGGTTTTGACCTTCAAATGCCACATGCGTGTATCGGCTAAGAGGCAATCTCGATAAAACACGGTGAATTAATTATTCTCCTTGTATAGTCGGTAAGTCTTTGTCCTGTAGTTATCTACAGTGCAGTGGCCAGCAGGAAGCACCCCCAGTCGGTTGGTGAGGTCGGCTAAGCAGTGATGGAAACGGGAAACTACCGGAGTTAGGATTGTTTAATACACCCTGCCACAGGTCCAGATCTATAGGCTTGAATACCATATGTGAACATGCTGCAGGTAGAGCTGCTAGCAACTTGGGTACCTAGTGGGGAAGTTTTTCTTTCTTTTTCTTTTGGAAATGTTGCAGTGGCTGTGTGAAGGTGACTGCACAATTAATGGCCACAGTCAGCTGTGATTCACGTGAACAGCTGCTTTTTGCCTGACTCGCACAGCCTTTGCCTGGACCGGATCTCT